TTCTTGCCCTTGGAATACATCTCTGGCCCTTCAAGCCTGAGTTTGGAGTCATCTGGGTTATTAAGATATCCCGTGCGTAGCTTATTCATCACACTTCTCACTTTTCATTATAATTATACTTTAAAGAGTGTCTTTTCACTAGGCTGTGAAGGTAGGGGTAAAGTTTTATCCATCTCTCTACTTCTATAACTACTACCTGCATGGAACATTGGCCTGATGTATATTTCTTTCTGAATTCCTGGGAAGGGAGCCTGTAGAATAAAGTAGCCACAGCCCAACAAAAGTATAGGTGGTTAAAGGCTGGGCAGAGGGTGTCTGCTCATGAGATTTACTATGCAAATGTACCATCATGGAGTTCTTAGCTCTAATGCCATTATCAATTTTCAGGCAAAACCTTCCTTATGCACCCTCACCATCAATTCTGTGTAAAGTGACCACAACAGGCATTTACGATATTTCTATTTTACTACAATCAGAAATAACATGAATACGATGTCAATTGTTATAGTAGAGGCACTATATAGTAGTAGAATGATTATTTTCCTTTATAATTTTAAGAGCTAGAGTTCATATGACCATATCCTCACATATTATTAAAATAAAAATAATATAACAGCTGTCTCTAAAATAGCATTACCATAGCCTTTGAAGCATTTTCTTTTGTGTGTGTGTGTGTGTGTGAGAGAGGAAGATTTGCCCTGAGCTAACATCCATTGCCAATCCTCCTCTTTTTTTGCTTGAGGAAGATTAGCCCTGTGCTAACATCTGTGCCAATCTTCCTTTACTTTGTATATGGGATGCCTCCACAGCATGGCTGATGAATGGAGTAGGTCCCCACCTGGGATTCAAACCTGCAAACCCCAGGCCACCAAAACAGAGTGCACAGAAGTTTAACCATTCAGCCCTGGGACTAGCCCCGTTTTGAAGCATATTTATGCATTGATTATATGTCTCAATTTTTATACAATGGCTTAAATCCAAATAATAATCCAAACTGAAATAAAAACACTAACTGTTATTGTTCCAATAAGTATGGTGGTTGGTATCATATAATGGGTAAGAGCATGACCACTCGAAATCTGGCAGACGCAGTTGCTCATTTGAGTTATAACACTTACTAGCCATGTTACCTCAAAAATGCTACCTAGCTATTCAAAACCTCGGCCTTTTTATCTATAAAATGGAATAATAATGGAACCTATCTCTTGGGATAATTGGTGAGATTGATAGGTTAAATAACATAGTGAATACAGTAAAGTATTTGGCACAATACCTGGCAGCTAGTAAATGCTCCATAATTCTAGTGTTTATTGTTATTATTTTAAAACATTTAATGCATAATTGACATAAAGGAAAAGGCATAAACATAAATAAAAGTTTAATAAATTATTATAAAGTAAATACCAGTGTTGGGAAAAAGAACATTTGTGTCAAGAAAGAGAGCATTGAATACAATCCGGGAGACTTTGTACCTTTCCAATCACAATGCCCTTCTTTTCCTTTAGCTTTAACAACTATCCTGACTTGTATGGAAATGATTTTCTTGCTTTGTTTGAGTTTCACTACCCATGTATGCATTTCTAAATAATATTGCCTGTTTTTGACCTTTATATAGTAAAGAAATCTCGAAAGTCAACAATAGAAAAAAGCAAATCTAATTAGAAAATGGACAAAGTACATGAAGAGACAATTTACTGAAGAGGATATACAGTTGGCAAATATGCACGTGAAAAGATGTTCAACATCACTAACCATTAGGGAATTGCAAAGTAAGACCATTATGAGATATCATTACACAACTATTGGAACAGCTAAAATGAAAAAAATACAGAGACCATAGTAATTTATGGTGAGGATGTGGAGAAACTGTCTATTTCATACACTGTAGATATGAATGGAAAATGGTACAGCCACTTTGAATAACAGTTTGGAAATTTCTTAAATACTAAACATACATTTTCCACACTACTCAGCAATTGCATTACATTTATCCTGGAGAAATAAAAATTTATGCCTAGACAAAACCCTATACATGATGGTTCATAGTAACTTTATTTGTTATAGCCCAAAACTGGAAATGATCTAGATGTCCTTCAGTGTGTGAATGCTTAAATAAACTGTTGAACATCCATACCATAGAATACTACTCAGAAATAAAAAAGGATTTAACTATTAATACACACAATAACTTGGATGGATCTCAAGGGTATTGTGATGAGTGAAAAAGCCAATTTCTAAAAGTCATATACTGTTTATACTACATTCTCAAAATGATAAAATAATGTAGATGAAAAATAGATTAGTAGTTGCCAGGGGTTAGGAATAGCAAGAGGGACTGGCATGAGTGTGACTTTAATGGGGTAGTACAGAGGATATTTTTGTGGTGATAGAATAGTTTTGCATCTTAATAGTAGTGATTGTGACACAACCACAAATGATATAGACATTTACACATACATCACTCCAATATCAATTTCTGGGTTTTGATATTGTACTACAGTAATATAAGATGTAACCATGGGGGGAATTTGGCTGAAGGATACAGAACACCTCTCTGTACTGTCTCTGTAACCTCCTGTGAACTTATAATTATTTCAACATAAGTTAAAGAATTTTCTTCATCCAGATAAAGGTAGGTAAATAGGAAGAGAGGAACAAAGAGAAGATGGAATAATATGAATCAAAAGCCAAGGATTAATTTAAAATATATCTATAGTTACATTAAATGTAAATGAAATAAACAATTCAAAAGCAAAGATTGTTAGACAGGATTAAAAAAAGCAAGATTCAACTATGTTTTTTTTTTATATAAGAACCACATTTTAATCATAAAGACATAAACAGGTTTAAAGTAAAAGGATTTCTTTCTGATAACAATTTGCTTCAGCCTAGACAACTTATTTTAGCCTTTCTTGTCTTGCACCTTTGTGGGAGATGAATTCGTTTTGAATTTTTATTTCAGAAAATGGTTAGATTTCACTTTGATTTTTGAAGGATATTTTCACTAGTAGAATTCTAAGTATTTCTCTTTTAATTTCAACACATCAAAGACACCATTCCATTGACTTTTTGATTTTGTTTTCCCTGATGAGAAGTCAGCTGAAATTCCTACCTTTGGTTCCCTGTATAATATTTCTTTTTACTCTGCTGCCTTCAAGAGTTTCTCTTTATTTTGGTTTTAATATTTAAGTATGAGGCACCCTTGTTTTTTTTGTATATTTATCCTGCTTGGGTTTATCTAAGTTTCTTAGATATTTGGTGCTCTCTTAAATTAAATTTTGAAAAGATGGGACACTATCTCTTCAAATATTTATTTTGTCCCATTTTTGGTCACGTATTTTTCTAGAGCACCAAGTACACATAACAGAAATATTGTTCCAAGATTTAAAATATTCTATGCTGTTTTCTATTTTACTTTTCATTTTTTTCTTCTGGTGTAAGTTTGCATAATTTTTATTAATACATCTTAATGTTGATGAATTTTTTTTTCTCACGTGTATGATGTGCTGATAATCCCACCATAGACACTTGTCATTTCTTATATTGTGTTTTATCTCTAGAATTTTCATTTGGCTCTTTATTGTTTGCACCTCTCTGATGACATTCTTGACCTATTCACATATGTTGTTCACCTTTTCTGTTAGATCCTTTAACATATCAACCTTAGTTGATATGTACCTGTTGGACCACATTTGGATGATCCTTGGTCCAACTTCTGAGTCAAAAGTTCTGGTCTCATTCTGATGACTACTTTTTCTCTTAAAGAGGGATCAATTTTTTCTTGTTTCATGTATCTTCTAATCTTTGATTAAATGGTGGACATTACACGTAAAAATAGTAGAGATTGAAGTCAACATCTTTCCTGGAAATGTGCATGCCTCTTCTTCTGCCAGACTGTTACTCTGAAGGATTGATCCAATATTTTCTGTATATGAGCTGCATTTGGCTTGTTATTGCTTCAGTTACACTAAAAGAACAGTATAGGCTTCAAACACCTGTTGGAAAATTGCTGCTACTTTGTTCCAAGTGTGAGGTCTGGGATGCTGCAGGGCTTCTCCCACTGTTCCTGTTCTACCTTCAGATTTCATCAGATTCTTCATGCTTGTGCAATTCTCCTGCCCCTCCTCCCATGATATATTGCTATTGCTTCATACTCAACTGAGGTTTCATTGTGGGGGCAGAAGTGTTTCTTGGTTATTCTGCTCTTGCCTTAGTCTTGAGCAGGATCTTTACATGTAAACTGCAGGGCTAGATCTTTTTCAGCATTCCTGCCCTTCCTCAAATGCAAGTAATCTCTATCTTCTACTCAGTCCAGAGTCCAGGCAAATTTTTGCTCTTCCTCAGTGCAAACAATCTATATTTTGTATTAGCGCAGAGTCTAGGGTAGATGGGATTCCTGTTCTTTCCCCTTCCCTCACTCCCCCATGGCAGCAGAAATCTGCCTTGGATCAGTGCAGGATCCTAGGAATGAGTGTGTTTCCTACCCCACTCCTAGCAGTAGATGGCTATATCAGTGCAAAGTACAGGAAAGGAGGATTTCTTGTCTCTCCTCTAGTAGTTGTCAACTTCTTCTTGAAATCAGCAGATTTTTGGGTGTGGGAGTGTTATGTGCCCTTTCCGTGGTGGCAGTGGCTTTTGTCTCACATCAGAGGAGGGTCCAGGTTGAGGACATGTTTTCTGCTAATTGCTCAGTGGTAGCTAGCCACTACTCTGTACTCAGGTGGGATCCAGAATATAGATGGATTTCTCCAAATTCTACGTTTCTCTTTTCAAAACTAGGCTGACCCTATAAAAATGGTCCACAGAAGGAGTACATTTAATCAGCTCTCCTGCCCTGACACCAGTTGTTGTCATGAACACTTGGTAGAGACCCATCGAAAGGAGTGAATGAGTGGGTGCTGATTCTTTCTGTGTTTGGGGATCCTAGGGACCCTAAACAGTCATGATAGTCTACATTCAAACTTTAAGAATTTGTTAAAATTTCAGCTTTTTCTTCTTACCTGATTCTATGGTGGCCACTTCAACCTGTGCTCTGGCAAAGGTCTACAAATCCATGTATACTATTCTTCTCAAGGGGGCTGTCACCTCCTGGATTTCAGTTTGCCAATTTGCCTTGTGACCTCAGCTATTTGATGTGTTCCAAAAATTTATGATTTTGTAGGTTATCTGTCTTGTTCTCATTGTTACATCATGAGTGGTGTTCTCTTGCAGGTTTCTACATCATAAGTGAAAATAGAACTTGACCTTCACAGTTAAGATAGTTTTGCATTTAAATTATAGCATAGATTAGAGTAAAACATTTTTGGTCTTTGCATGAGTTTTTTTAATGATTACATATTACACTACCAGTTCCCTCTTTTTTCACATAAAACATGCTTGTTTATTCATGCTGCTGTGTGTAATTTCTACATGGGAGTTTCCTTTAGACTTTTGGCTGATTGCCAATCATTCTGATGGAAAAAAATAGTAATAAACTCTTTCCATGCACTAGGTGGGCCTTCAACACTGGAGGATCAGACAAATACAGGAGTCTGGAAAAATGCTAAATGAATTTTGTACATAATGTTATTGTAACACCAATGAAGGAGCAAGCAATGGCTGCTTCATGTGACTCTCACTGACATATTTGGTCCCAAAAAGAAGTTATCCAGCAAAACTAACCATTTTGACCCATCTGTTAGATTTTCAGAATTTCTACTGATGGACAGTCCCATTAAACTAAAAGCAGAACTGTTATAGCTGTTTTTTTTTTACTTTCTCCTCCTCTTTCACTTTCAAGGAAAAAAATCTAGTAAATAAAATATCATGCCTGTCATTAATGGCTGAATGATCTTTGTCAAATCACTTAGCCTCCCTAAGGCTCACTTTCTTCATCCCCAAAATGGGCTAAATTTACCTACTCTAACAGTCTTAACACAGAAATTGCAATGGAAAAATGTTATCTGTATTGAACAATAAATATGAGCGTTATTATTGCCTATCCTCATTTTCCCCTGAATGGAGATTAATCTGGTCCTCACTTACGCTGTTCCACAGAGCAGTGGAGTTTATTTAGCTGGTTTGATTGATGAGCTGCTACCCCTTTTTTTCATTTAGGATTCTTTAAGCATTACTACTGTGTCTTTGTATTTATTCACATGGCTCTTTATTTTTCTTGAGGGTGTACTACACATGCATTATCATTCAAGAAAGTCTGAACAAATTATGTTTGCCCTTAATTTAGATTTAGTATTTCTATAATTGCCTAAAGACTATGGAGTTTTATAAATAGACATTAATAGGAAATTCATTAATTAAGGTAATCGTTACATTCTGTTTTAATTGCTAAACACTGTTTGACTATATTAAGACCTATTTAATCATTGCAGTCATTGGCGCCTGACATTAAGAGAGACTAGAGTCGAATTTTTTATTTTATATTTCTTGAAGCTGCAACTTAGTCACATTCAATGCTTTCACACAATATCAATTACAGTTGGGGCTAAAAACATATGCTAACTATCCCTTCCCTATGCAGTCATAAATAGTGCTTTCATTAATAAATGTCCTGATTGTTCTTTTGTGTTTTGTGGCATAATTGTTATCTTGTCTTCACTATCTAGTTCCAACTAGGATTAGTAATGTTGTTCTTTTAATCCAGTGTTCATGCGGCTAATTTAGGAGGCAGTAACACAGAAGAATGCCCCACAGGTTTTAGAGTGAAACTTTTTGAATCCATCCACCATGAGACTGGGGCAGGTTATTAAATCTAAGCCTCAGGTTCTTCAACATTAAAATGAGGACAATTGTAATGTTTTAGAGTTGTGAGGATTGAAAGAGACAATGCATTTAAAGCAGTTGGCATATTATTTAGCACTAGCCAATAAGCTCAAGAAATGGCACCAACGATGATAGTGATTACTGTTCTTTCTAATATTACTATTATTATATTTCTTAGTTTCCAAGTTTCTGGAAGGCAGGAAGGAACTGCATTTACACACAGACTGTTTAAACTGCTCCTGTACTAATGTCACTCAGTCAGTATTTTGGTTTTGACAGTTTCTTTTCCCAGATCCGTGCTGTCGATCCTAGTTTGTAAACTCTTACAGGAATGGAGCCATGTCTCTTTATCTTGATCAATAAATCCACATCACTCTAACAAATATTTCTTGATTATGCTGCTGATTCAGCTGTCTTGTTTCCCCTAATCCAGTTGAGGATATTCCGGCATGCCCTCTCTTTTTGAACACACTTTAATTCAAAATGAAAGAAAGACCATTGCTGGTTGAATTAGCTTGGCCTAACACAACCCCGGAGCTTAATTTTTGGATTAATACTGGCACTTTGGTCATTTCATTCTTTCTTTGGCTCCTTCTCCTATGTATGATTCCAAGATGACAATTCCCTTTGGACTTTTGGCTGAAGGCACTTGTCACTTCCACTTCATTATTTCCATGATATTTGCTCACTGCAGAGCATCTGTCTCCATGCAAACGGCTTTAGTAGAGGCTGTACATCTCTGTAATAGCAAGACAAATATGATGCCTGATTATAAGCTTATGAAAATGGAAATACAGGAGGGTTATTTTAAGGTTTTCAAATCTTTCCATGGATATATCTTATTTATGCTGCTATTTGAGTTTCCAGCAGCGATATTGCCTAGGACATATCTCTGTGGAACAACATCAGTCATAGTGGGCAAGTCTGTTACGTCGATGTTTTATCTAACATTGCTTGCCTGTGTCACGTGGTCTGACTAAAAATGATATTAATAAACTTGAAAGTTGCATATCTTTAAATAAACAAATGTTGGCATTCTTTGTAGAGGGAAATAAACAAAAATATCTATGGACATATCTCATTTTTTTTTTGATTCATGACACTTCTTGCTAAATTGAGTTTACACTTTTTATTTAAAAAAAAGTGTTCAGAACGTCTAGTGACTCTCTCCTTAAGTGGGTCACTGGTTGAATGCTCAGTCCAGAAGCTACTAGCTTTCGTATCAATTAATTCTGCTAAAGACAAAATCCTGAACTATTGGACAAACTATTACACTCTGTGCAGCCCCAAACGATTCAGAGTGTAGCATGTTATAGTGAGGAGGACAATGAACTTAAAATCAGGAATCTGAGACTTCTCTTTACTGAATATGTGCCTTTAGGTAAATCAATAAACTTCTCTGAACCCATGAAATACCTGCTTTCGCTAGATGACAGAGATCTTAGAAGGTCTACTGGAAACGATAGACATGAAAGTGCTTAATGTACACAGCAAATTAGTTCTCTTGTGGCTCAGTGCATGAAAGATTTCATTATTATTATTTTTTTTCCTTGCAATTACAGCTTTTGTTCTCGACCAGGCATTCCTTGTGCTTTTGAAGAACATAGCACTTGATAATTCATTGAACAAATATTTTTATGTACCTCTGCTAGTAGGCACTGTGGATACAGCAAAATCAAAATAGCAGGCTCAAAACTAAACACAGAAAGGATTCTTTAGCAGGGGATGGCATCTGGATGTTGTTAAGTTTCAGTGTGTTACAGGTACATTAGTTTCAGTATTAGTTCATTAGTTCATTAATTTTAGTCAGGATAAAGTAGGGAAAGCCACAAACAGTAATGAAACAAAGATGAAGCTTAACTTAAAGGAGCTATTAATTTGAAATAAAAATAGTAACATGAGATTTACCTTAAGAAAAATGGATAGTATAAAAGCCATTTTCTACATTATGAAAAAAACAAACATGTTGCTATAAAGTAAGAAATTCAGTCCATCAGCCTGATATTCATAGCATATTCATAGCGAAATGTCAAGGGATCTGGAAACTATTGCCTTTGTCACATTCTGCTGTGTTTTGAAAAAAGCTAGATGTCTGCCAGGATATGGAGAAATTAACTGATGATGGAAGGCATTTTCCACTTTGCACTGATACACTTGGATATCCTTGAGAAGAAATATAAATGAAGGTTTATAATGAAAATCTTTCCCTTCTAAACTCTGATGGGCATAAACAATACGGTCCTAAGGGCAGAAAGTGGTGAGTTAGTCTGGACGTCTATGACCCTGTCATCCCATCACTTACCATTCCATAGTTGAGCTGAGGTGTTTTAGCTTTTTACCTTAGGAGGAAAACTGCTATTTGAGCTTGAACTCTCAGTCCTATAAGATTCTCAGTCTCTTTACACTGTGCATATTGTGGAAAATTAAGTCAGAATCACATTTTCTCATTTGAAGAGATTCCCTTCCTTTTGAACAAGGGTTTCTAAGGAGATTTATCTTTTTCTGTCTGTATATTGCCTTTAACAGAAACTTTACAACAAGCTTCTAGTAGATTTGAGGTAAGTGAACTTAAAAATGACTCCTACCATCTGGAACTTTCCCGTTCTGGAAATGGTATTGAAGTTGAGAGATAGTGGTGAGTGTGGGCAATTCACTATGAGTGAGATCCAGTTCAAATATCTTGACCTCTCTGATCTTCAGTTTCATTTTTTTGTAAAATAAATGAGTAGGGTTAACATATCTCTTACATCACCTTATCTCAATGAGCATTTATTGAGCAGCTAGGTGCCGAGGGAACAAAAGTGCCTGGAATTCCCTAAGTCATCAGCACACTTTCATGGGCATTAATAATTTCCTATTATTCTATGAAATACAGCTTCAGTCAGGTGGGACTTCTTACTAGTCCCAACATACAACATACTTATTTCCCCTTCTTGTGATTTTTTTTCTGTAGGATCTTCCTTATCTGGCGTTCCTACTTCATCTTACCTGAATATCTAAATCCCATCTACATGTCAGGGACAGCTTAAGTCTCATCTACTCCATAAATCTCTCCCAGTTTGGATTATTCCAATCCATGAAGTTTGATTGAATTTGTCATCTTACTACTTGGAGTGCCTCTTCACTGTTTCAGGTGTGTTAGTTTTATTTCCCAATTAGATTGTAAACACCTGTTGGTCATAAATTATATCCTACATGCCTTTCGAAGATCTGCAGAACTTACCAAAGAGTTAAGTACATAACAGATACCTAATAAATACCATTTCTAATTGCTAAATACCAATTCTAATAACTTTTTAGATTTCAGCACCCCAAGATGCTACAACAGATGAATCAAGTATTGTTTCCCAAAATAATGCAATTGATAAAGAGTAACTATTTTATTCTTTAGTGGATCAAGTATATTTTGTTTCATTTCTAAATGTGAAAAGCAACATTTATAATATTCTTCTTATGCTCGCTAAAAAAAAGCAACATTTATAATATTCTTCTTATGCTCGCTACATAAGGAAATGAAGTAATTAACCAGATATTCTCCTTTAGCTGTTGCAACCAAGTAAAAGTTTAACGGTATTACACTAGAAAGACCATGACATCATACTTTTGCCCAACGAAAAATTATTGTATATTACTTGAACCCCAATGAGAAATTTGCCCTTTAGGTAATTTTTATTTTAAAACAAAAGCCTGCCCACTAGGAAAATGCTGCAGACAATTTCACAGAAGAGGAAAGAAAATTCCTTACAGAGTTAACAGGCAAAGCAGGTAGCAAGCATTTCCAAATAACATATTGAAGACGTCAAAAAAGTCATTTAAAATCTAAAATTTGAAAACTGGTGCGAACTGAGACTAACCGAGTATTAGTAGCTCTGTAGTAGGAAGGCAACCCTAAAAAGACAAGTGCTGTGGGACAACAGAAGGACCTTGGTCTCGTCACCCTTACAGTGAAAGTCTCTCCATGCTGTGCCCCATCCTGACGCATGTTATGGGTACATGTCTCCATCCGGGAGAACTCATCTGTTAAGCTCTGGCACCCAGAGTGAACAAATTCAGGTATCAGCTGTCCTCAGAGGACGTCATTTTAGTGAGTCTCCTTCGATAAGCAGTAACTACAATTGTACTGCTTTTACTCTAGATTATTAGTCATAATTTATTAGTGTGTTAATTACACTAATTCATTTGATTCATTTATTAATGCATTTATATCTTGCCTTATTTGAAAAATTAGTTTGTGGTGGCCAAGCCAAGAAAATTCTTTAATTTTGGCTCTGCTACAAACAAGTGCCTTTGGGCAATTCAGTCAACCTTTCTTGGACTCAGTTTCCAAATCTGAAATGAAGACATGAACTGAAACGATCCATGAAATCTCTTCTTGCACTTCTTTATGCAATACTCTGATTTCTTTAATATGCTTAGCAAGAATCATCAGAAAAGGCTTATCGTGAATAAAGTATCAGATGAAGAAGGAAGCTATTTAAATGCAAAGTAATAATAATATAAATGCAAAACAATAATTTCCCTGAGATGCAGCACTTTACTACCAGCGGTGAGATTGGTAGGAAGATGATTCACAGAAGCACAACTGCCAGATTAAGGCAATAATGAGAGCGACTTAAAAGAAGCAGAGCTAAGTAAACACAGCATGAATAAGCAATAACTACATAGTGGCAAGCTATTTAAAAGTCAAAGCTACAAGGGAAGAATGAATACAGTATCCAAGAATGGGGACTATTGCAGGATATAATGAATAGAAGTTCGGAAGAAAAATGTAGGCTAAATAAGATCAAATCTCCACAATAATATAAAGCCCTAAATTCTGGAGAGCTCAGAGTTGTATAAATTGCCTCATAGAGTTTTGCAGGCTGAGACCATTGCGGAACTTGCAAGGTTCCACAAATCAATTTGTCCTCCAGTAGGACTCTGCTGACGTGCTTCTTTACCTCCATCAGGGCTTTGGTAGATCCCTAAGGAGGGACCACAGCTGTTACCCTGGGGTTGTAGGCAGGTTCTGCCTGAGGCTAACAGTCTCAGACTGGGATGCCTTTCCTCTTCAGTGCTCTGATTATTTTATTTGATTGCCCCCCCGCCCTGCTTCCTGCAATCCTACAAAACACAACTTTAGACTTCAACTTCCCCAACTGTCTGGCAGTGGG